AGTACACCTTTTGATCGGCATGCTTGTGAATGTGTTTGTGTCAAATCGGAGTTTGCATGAAACTAATTTTAAAATGTTTAAAGATAGAAAAAATTAGATTAAAAAGGCAATCATAGTTCAGGATATTAGGAATGAAACACAGACTGGATAAAAGCTGAATGTACATACAAGGCTTGCTTATCTGGGTATCTAAATTGGCATTTCCTGCTTTCCCACAACTGTCAAAATTCGATTGTGTTTCTCTCAACAGCAGACTGATAGTGCCAAACAAACTATGTATGTTAACAAATAGAAAACTTTAGGCCCCCCAACTTCTTCCAACCCACTTGCCAGAGATATTCATAGTTTTGCATCTTAAAAGTTTCTTAAACACTTCTGTATGTATAATTTTGTTATGCTTTAAGCGAACAACAATCCGGAGATGGGGATGATTGTGATTGACTTTCCGGATGTTGATCCGGCCGCTTTTCAAACAATCATGGATTACATGTATTCGAATTATGATGAAACAGCAATCAAAATTGACGATTCGGTACTTCTGAATACTCTTTATGCCGGTAAGATGTGTTTTTTTCGCAAAAAATTTTTTGTTAGTTCGGTGAGGTTTTTGCCTTCCCTCCTGTACTACTTTGTTTCCGGAATTCCATCGCACCTTCGTCACTTGTTTTTCTTTTTTCTTCTAAACCGCATTTTTTTAAAACTATCGATGCAGATGGCATCTCTTCCACTCCTCTCTAAAAAAACCACAAAAAAATCAATTTTAACTTATATAGGAGGTTGTAGAAGTGTAAAAAAAAGAAACACCTACACATCTACAAAGCATATGCATTTTAACATCCAAGAAGTCAATCACAACTATACCTCCCTCCGGATTCCTGCTCCCTTGAAGCATTCAAAGCTGAGACGGAAGGCTCGCAAAATGAAATTACACAACTTTTTTCTACATCTAAATGCTTTTTACAACTTCATATATAATTTACAGTTAATTTCCTCCATCTTACTTGCAGCGATATTTGCGTAGGCAAACCATTCAGTGACTTGTTGCGTCCTCTGTTGCCTCTCATTCTTGTCCTATGACATACTCCCAGGCTAGAAATTCAGTCGTTCTGAATTTTCTTTGGTTTGTACGAGCCGTTGCTTCAGAAGGCATGATTCGGCCTACTAACAGCCGCAAAAAACCACTTGACAATTTCACCCTCTTCGGTGGCTCTACGTAGACCAGCCAATTTTGTCTCGAGCTTCTATGGTCGTTGTATTCTTTTTTATTCATCCCAGAGAGGAGGGGGGGGGGGGGGGGGGGGGGGGGGGGGGGGGGGGGGGGGGGGGTT